TGGTGCCCCTCCTCCTCACCCATTGGTGACTTACATTGTTTCCTCACACCACCCCCCTTCTAGGTATCACAGTGCAGAGTTCTACTTACAACTTCTTCCCCTCCACCTCGTCTAAGGCACCAGCATCAATTGTTTTGACTACCGTGGCAGTGTGCTGACTCTTCTCACTGTTCCTTACCTCGCCCACCCCCCACCCCCAGACCGTTCTCCACATTGTGACCAGAGGGCCTCAGTACATGAGATCACACTCATGCCCTCTCTTGCTCAAAATTTCCCATGTTCAGAATAAAATCCAAAGTCCTCACCAAGGCGCAGGAGACTCTGTGTGTTTTGACACCTGCCTTCTTTTAGGCCTCATTTCTTATTTTTTTCTTGTCTGCTCTGCCTTAGTGATGCCTGGCCTTAGTGCTGTTCCTCTGATTGCTTTGCCACTTCTAGATGTTCCAGTGTCACCTCCTGAGGGAGGCCTTCCCCCACCACCCAAGCTACAAAGTGCCATCCTTCCAGTAGGGCTTCCTGCATGTCAGTTCATTCGTAAATTGTCTGCCTCTCACATTAAACGGTAAGCTCCCTGAAGACAGAAGATACGGCTCCTCTCCACAGCCTCAGTACCCAGAATAGTGTCAGCCATACAGTGGTGCTCAACAAATGCATACTAAAGGAAAGAAGTAAAAGCTCAGCATATGATCAGTGTGAAGGACTTCAAGCTTCTTCCAACTCTAAGAACCTAGCATCCTGGGTTATTGAAATACCATTTATGACCAGTTTGGAGTATCAGGAAATCTAGCTGGTGCTCCTCTTTTGAGACTGAATTGATTTTTCTCGATTCTTCCCCATGTAGACAACTGACTGCAGAGCAAGGTGTCCAAGACACTCTTGGGAGAAAAAGCAGGGAATTTAAAAGCCATACCAGCATACCTCTATTCTCTGTCTGCAGTAGTGGTCGCCCTTTTCAGCCCTGTGGTTGCTGGGACTTTAAAAAAAATCTTTATCCAGTGGTCTTGGTCTGACTAATGCTTACTCACTCCTGAAGTCCTAGGTTAGATATTCTTTACTCAATGACAGTTTCCCGGTACCCAGACTAAGTTAGGTCACTCAGTTCTGTGATCTCCTGTTTGTTCTTTCTTATGACTTCTCACATACCTGTAAACATTTATCATTTGCTACCTGTCTTGCCATTCTGAAGGCACTAAGATTGACCCTGCCTGTCGAAGTGACAGGGACTTAGTAGGTGCTCAGTAAGTGTTGAATTAACAATTGGATGTTAATGCTAAGCAACAAAAAATGACAACATATGTTGCAAAAAAAATGTGATTGATGATTGACCACCTATCACTTTCCTGACACCAGCATCAGAAGCAGCTCCACTTTTATTTGGACACCATTTTGTGGTCACTGTTTCATGGTCAGCAGTAGGTGCTGGGGAAGGCAGTTAATGGGACATTTTCTGTTGGAAATGCTTGAATTAATGGGCAGATTTTTCAGAACCATGGACCTTCCATTCAGGGAAGAGAGTGAATTAGATTGTTCATAACATCCTCAGCGTGCAGATCATGATCTTTTTTAGAAGTCATTTTATCAGGAAATTCTTCTATACAATTTCTGTATAATCTTCCCTCTTGTGATCTAAGCCTTTGTTTTCCTCCCAAGGAAGCTAAAGCACAACTGAAGATATAGTAGAAAGAATTGGGAAGATCTTTGTGTTTTAAATGATTTTCAACTTCTCAATTTTCCTCCCTACAAGATGGAAATAATAACATCTATTTTCTGAGGATTTGGATAAAACCGTTTGAACAGCTGAGTATTTAACATGTGACATGTTGATAGGCACAATTGTTTGCACCACAAAGTCTACGATGCACTGATTTTTATAGCTAATGGAATTTTGTAACTTGTGTTTTCAGAGCTGAAGCTGTTAACCCACCCAAGTAGGAGATAACACTCTGATAGGCGTTATGTAGCCACACGTTGACCAGTCAGGTACATTACTAGAAAGGCTGAGGCTAGTGGCTTTCAGGGGGCCACCACACAGAGAAGCAGAGCCATGCACAGCAGAGCAAAACCGTCGCTCTGACTGACTGCACTGTGCTCGAGTGACAGACCAGCCAGCTTACTGTGACCAAGCCCCCCATGTGTCTTACCATTGCCTCTGCTGAACTGGCTCCCCAGTGTCACAGCTCGAGAAGCCACAGCTCAGTTAACTGCTGAAAGGAACAGAAAGGAGAATGGGTGAGGATGTGGTGTTGAGAGGGATTTAGATCATCTGAACACCAGGGATTTTTTTTTTTATATACAGTATTTGTAAGTTGAAAACACATATAAAGAGTTGGAGGTCTTATTTGGAAGCAGATTATCCACATAAAGGCTACTCAATCCCATCCCATATTTTTCTAATGGAACTTCAGGATCAAGGTCTGAAAGTGAGGAGAGGATTTGATGGCATGGCTGTCCTAGAAGCCTGGAACTTGGGCTCACCACCCTCTTCACTCTCTACCTTTGAGTATGTCACTGCCCAGAAATTAGGAAAGGGAATCTGAATCTACTAGTTGACTTCTTGAAAATATGTTAAATTTTAATCAGAAGACCATTTGCTGCTCTAACAAGTGACCACAAACTTCGTAGTAGAAAGCCACACAAGTTTACTGTATTCCAGTTATAGAGCTCAGAAATCCAAACTGGGTCTTATGGAAAAATCAAGGTTTTGGTAGAGCTGCTTCCTCATGGAGAATATGAGAGAGAATCCTTGTCCTTGTCTTTTATAGCTTCTAGAAGCATGAATTCCTTGACTTGTGGCCACCTCACTCTGACTTCTGTGTCTGTGGCTCTCCTGTCTTTTTCACTTATAAATACCTGTGTGATTAAATAGGACTCACCTGGATAATGCCAGATACTCTCCCACCTTAAGACCCTCAACATAATCACACCTATGAAGTCTTTTTTGTCAATAAGGTAACAAATTCACATGTCCCAGAGATGAGGACATGGACATCTTGGGACGGGGAGGACGTTACTCTGTCTACCATAGAAGACAACCAGAACTACTTGAGTCTGTGTATGTTCTTTCTTTCCTTTGTCATGGCCACCACAATCTGCCTGGTGTTACCAAGCCTCAGCCATGGCTACCTAGGATTCCTTTCCCCTTACCTCTCCTTCCTCTCCAGAGGAAGCTTCAGACCACCACAGTTCACTGCACGCAGTTTCTTGCCAGGCGCTGGTCCAAAGCCAGGTCTGTCTTGGTGTAATTCTTATCATTGCTGCTCATCAAATATTTCTCTCCCTTTACCACCTTCCTGGCATATGACAGAAGCCATGTGTGAACCCTATGTGGGTGGGAAAGCTCATGTGATTAGTTCTGGCCAGTGATTTATAAATGACCTCTAGGCTGAGCATTTTGTTGATGCTATAGGACCTTTTAATATCTTCTCTTTTCCCTTTGGTACAATAATCAGCAATGTTCAAGGTGGATGGACTTGCTTTTGATGTGTACACTAAGGAAATAAACCTTATTGTAGCCACTGATATTTGGGGATCATTTGTTACTGTAACATGTTACCTAACTTATCCCACTTGATGCATTCAGCAAGGGCTAAAGGGAGGTAAAAAGAGCAAATGAAATATATTGTTCCTACCTGATTCTTCCCATTTGCCTGCCTCTATTATCCCAGGCCACATATACTTCCCTATTTCTCTGATGAAAAAGTCCTTTAATCCAACGTTGTGGCTGTTGGGTTTCTATTCTGAGGAGGTAGAGAATTTATTTTCTAAAGTGCATATGATAATACACCCAAAGATAGGCCACTGATCACACGTAGTTGACTCTACATCAGTTGAAATAGAAAGATCTGCAGGTATGTGATGGAGTGCTGGGGGGGGGGGGGGGGGGGGGGGGGGGGGGGGGGGGGAGAGTCCAGGTGTGCTACATCATTTAACAGTGATCATTCTCTTTATTTCTTGTGCTAAGTTCTCACAACACAAGTGTGCTTATTTCAGGGCAACCACAGAGTAGGGACAGAATTGGAGACTTTGATAGAAACTGTAGTAGAAAGGGAGTCATACAGACCTCCTGGGGAACAAGGGGTTGAAAGGAAGCCAGGCCAGGCTCCCCAGGGCCCCGGGCGGCTGCACACTGCAGGCACTCACACCCGGGGCTCCTAGTTTTGCAATCTTTAGATGCCCTCACTCACCCTGCTTCCCTCACCCATCGCCCTGCTGCAGCCCATGCCTAGGGCCAGAGATTGGCATTAAGCTTTAGCCCCACCAGCTGGAGATGGAGCTCCAGCCCAGCACGAGGGGTGCAATGCCTGCAGGTGAAGGCCTGCAGACTACAAATGGAACTTTCAGATGTTTCACAGAAACAGCCTTGTAACCTGGGTGAAACATTGGTGGCGTTTATAACCACGTACGCTGCATCCAGGTCTTCTGCTGGCTCCTGTGGGCCGGCCTCAGGACCCATCACCCAACAAAGTGCGTTGTTTCTATGGAAACCTATAATCTGTGTCCAAAATACCCAGGTTAAAATTTTGTTATTTGTGGGGCGCCTGGGTGGCTTAGTCGGTTAAGGGTCCGACTTTCGCTTAGGTCATGATCTCACAGTTTGTGGGTTTGAGCCCTGCATTGGGCTCTGTGCTGACAGCCAGCTCAAAGCCTGGAGCCTGTTTCAGATTCTGTGTCTCCCCCTCTCTCTGACCCTCCTCTGCTCATGCTGTCTCTATCTCTCTCTCAAAAATAAAATATTTTTTAAAAATTTGGCTATTCAACTCTGTGTTTTCAGTTGAGGATTGCCAAAAGTAGATAGAAATTGGAGTTTTTTTTTAATTTGTGCGTTTTCTTTATCTAGATTATTAGTTCTTCTTGTCAGTAAGAATAATTGAGGACCCTCTTTTCTAAATAATCTGTTTAGAAGGAAACTACAGTTATGTCAGGGTTAGCCAGAACGAAGATGGAAATCCTTTCCGGCCATTGTTCATTTGCTTTTTCTTTTATTTCTTGAAACCCTGCAGGGCGAGCCCTGCTGAGACTCACTGACAAAAAGCTTGAGCGGATGGGGATTGCCCAGGAAAACCTCCGGCAGCACATCTTACAACAGGTGCTCCAGCTGAAGGTGCGAGAAGAAGTCAGAAACCTACAGTTACTCACACAAGGTACCCTGCTGCTGCCTCGTGGGTGGATATAAGTGGAGGATGGGAAGAAAGAAACCATTCCCATCATGACAAAGGGGAGCCAGAGAGAAACTATTATTGTGTTTTTGCAGACTTGCTTTTATTAAAAAGAAAAAAAAAAGAAAGTATATAGATGTAAAAGCCACTTCCCTCCTAAAACTTCTTTTTCATAGGTCACTGGGGGAAGGATACACCAACAAATAATGGATGAGCAAATGGAAGTATCTCATGACCTAGTTTCAAGGACATCAAATATAGCTACATAGGTTGTGCACTGTGCAACCTAGAGATATGGACACAATTGCACCCCCTAAAGTTGTACAGTGCAGCCTAAGCTCTCTTAGTTTGACTAACAGTTCTGAGAGGGCCTTGGAATTTGCGTGATTCCATAGTTCATACAATCATGATACAAGTGGGATTTTTGTTGTTTCATTTTACTTTGCTTTTCACTAATGGGACAAAAGCATTTTAAAGATATGTGTCTGTGTGTATGTATATGTATGAACACATAACACTCTTTAGAGATTTTTGAGAATGCTATTTAGCAACCTAAAAGTAGAATCACTTAAAAATTTTTTAATGTTTGTCCATTTTCGAGAGAGAGAGAGAGCGAGAGCAGGGATGGGGCAGAGAAAGGGAGACACAGAATCTGAAGCAGGTTCCAGGCTCTGAGCTGTCAGCACAGAGCCCAGTGCGGGGCTCAAACTCATGAACAGTGAGATCATGACCTGAGCCAAAGTCGGAAACTTTACTAAGCCATCCAGGTACCCCAATAGAATCATTTTTAAAAAATAGACTGTAGAGAATTTAAGCCTGGGATATTATGACCATGTAATTCTAAACAAGAATCATTTATAAAGTCAATATATTGGGAACATTAGAGAGGCCTATGATAGGAAGTAACAGAATAAAGTTAGAATTTCAAGAAAACTTTTAAGTTAATGCTGTATGTAACTTGTGTGTCTATGTAAGATTTGGTTGCTATCAACCTTCACTGGCTATAACCCTTTATTTATTTTAATGTCCATTATACAACATTGTAAGTGAAAGGATGATAAAATATGTATTTTTGAGAGGCTGGGGTATTTTTCAATCAATAGGATCTTGTAAGTGCATGCATACTGATATAGGAGAAATCTGGGACAACCAAGTTTTCATGTTATTGCATTTAGATTATAACCCAGTAATAGACCGTTTGCCTAGAGAAAGTGACATACTGCCTAAAGATGACCGCTCTACAGGGATGAATGCAGACTTCGAGTGATATGGACACAGTGTATTTATTCAAGATGTATTATTTGCATTTGTCCCCAGAGGCACGCCTGGTAAATGTATAGGTACATGTACGCTGAGTGATTTAACTCTGAATCTGACATCCTGATATACTTTTTGGTTTCTTTGAAGAAGTAAATAAAGATTCAAAGATTTATTACAACAAAGTCCATCCTCAGTGCTATTTATAAATCTGAAAAGTTACGAACAAGCTGGAGCTTCAGCAATATGGAAAGAAATAAGTCTGCTGAAACTCGTAAGATACAATATAATGCAGTCATTAAAATTAAATCTTCATAGAATATATGACAATACAGGGAGGTACTTAAGAAGTAATAGGAAGTGGGGGTGGGGAAGATCATGTAAAAATTGCATATTTACAGTATGAGCCAAATCTCTTAGAACATATTTTTATGCGTACACAGAAAAAGAGATGCCAATGAATGTGCCAGTTATTCTGATAATGGTTCTCTGTGGATGGTGGGATAGCGGGTGATTTTGTTTACTTTTTTTTCTATTTTCCAAATTTTCTTGTTTAAATCTGTATTATGGCTATAATCAGAAGACAGATGCACATTTTTTAAGCTTCAATCACACGCATCATTCTGCCAGGTTCTTTTTAGTGTCTGGGATTTCTTCTGCTCTTTTGTTTCCCTCCTGTGATGATATATAGAAAGTAAGACCTAAACTCCTCTCATATGCCTTAGACCTTTTCTTTTTCCCTCTGCCACTGTCAGCCTGCAGTGTGTTTTCTTTGCAAAATCATTTTCTACAGCTCTCATTGCCCTAGATGCATAATATATAAGATTTTTCCTGAGATAGTACTCAAGTCTATTAAGCTAAATATATGTTTGTGTTCTGGGAAGGTAATGCTAAGTTCAGCCTTTTCAATTCAGTTCTTGTGACTTTCTTTAGCTTTCAAAAGCTGTGCCTTTTGCATTCTCCCATTCCACTCCTTTTAGGAGAGATCACGTTCTCTAGCACTTGGATATTTTGTCTGCATTCATATTACCTTTTTTATTGCTTGTCCTTTACATGTTAATGTTCAGACTCATTTCATGCCAGGCAGACTTTAGAAAATCTATGGCCTTATTGAAGTGATAGTTTGGTTTTGAAAAAACATGAAACAAAAAAATTGACCAGTTGTTTTATCACTGATAATAGAAGCTCTAAAGACAGCTGGGGTAGGCTTAAAATATTTTGGGTCTAGGTTGGCTGTAATAAAAATTGGAACACTATTGCACCCAAGTTAACTGACTAGTATAACATATATATTGTATGGAAATTCACCATAGGAGTGATATGTTATTCACTATTGAATATTTGATTCTTCATCTCTGCAAATATTAATCAGTAGAAATCATATGCTGCACAAGTACAAAGATTATAAAATGCTACTTAGCTTTTGGAAATCCCTGAACATGTTTCTAAAGGAAATAATGGATAATTGAGCCTCCTTTTCCAACTTTTTGATGGCTGTTTTAAAACTGGCTTAAGCTATTGATTCTATCACAGTTGGTCAGGAGCCATGTGACCGTTTTAGGACTAAGATGGTCTCCAAAGGACTGTGAGGACTCTGGCTCGTTACTATGGGCCAACTGAACACAGGGAATATGAAGTTTCTACCCTCCTTTTTTCTTACTCTCCTCCTTCTGGATGCTGACCCAAAGACATAAACTAAAAAAAAAATAATAATAAACTCTAAGGTATTTTGAAAATGTAGATGGGATTCATAGTAAATATATCAGTTTATAGGCACTCTCATTGAGTCATGACAGAAAAATTTAAAACAGTTTATCATCTAAAGCCAGAACTGTTCTTCAGCTGAAATACTGGCCTCTGATTTTCCTTCTTTTGCCCACAATGGCCTTATAACTATCTGACATTTGTAAGAAACATAACCAGTCTTTGGCCCACTTTTAAGGTTGGTCCCCTGGATCCCATTGAGGTGGTTCCTTCCTCCATGCAACCTTTTAGTCTTCTGTGTCCTGTCCATGGAGTGGCCAGGATGTCAGTCTGATGGGCTTATGAGTTTGTTCATTCCTGCAGAAAACTCACCCATGTCAGGTTACCTCCAGTTGTCTCTTGGGAAATGCAGTACAAGGCTGGAAACAACATTATTCTCTTCTGCTTGATTCATGAGAGATGGGAGAAAGGTTCCTTATGTAATACACAGCAGTGGTACATAGTGTCGCATCAATTCATAACCAGGCATATGAGGGGCATCCTTAGCTTTTTAATAATGGACAGTGGTTGTGGGAAGAAAAACACTCCAGCGATACTGAAAGCTGACTTCTCATATGGCTAATGAGTTAAATTTTACTGTATACAAATCACTGCACTACTTGTCATATCAACTCATGACAGTACTGTTGCTAGCCCCAACTTACATATGGGGAAATGGAGGATGAAGAATTTGCATAACAGACCAAGTCAGTCAACTAGTTAAAAAAAAAAAGCACAATACAGATCCATCTGACTCAACTACAAACTTTTATCCATTACATTTCCGTACCTCTCATCTGTCAAATGGAGATAAGAACTCCTATTTCATGGTGGTGCTGTGATGATTAAATGAAATTTTATGTGAAAACCATATAACATAGTTCATGGCATAGTCTATGAAAATGGGTTCGCAGACCTTTATTTTTTTCTTCCTGGAAAGAGCCACATGTAAACATTTTACTCTTTAAGGGATATTCAGTATCTGTTGCAACTACTATACCATGTGAAAACAACTACAGATAATCTTAAATGAATTGAGCATAGCAGTATACCAATAAAACTTTATTTTTACAAACACTGTTGGTGGGCCATAGATTGTGGATTCCTGCTTTTCTGGGTCAAAAATGTAAACTTTTAACACCATTTTCACGATTATGTTTTACTCTTAGTGTCTTCCTTTTTGAGTTGTAAATACTTCCCTCAATCTCAGAAACACTTTTGAATGTCTTCCTTGGCTACAAATACATGGATAATGTAAAAATGTAAGCAAAACAATGAGGGTTGAGTAACTTCGGGCAGTAGAAACCAGTATCCAAACTGGAGGATAAAGCAGATGAAGACAAGAAAATGTCACCATCTTCAAATGCCTTTATAATTAGTGCCTACAAAGTTAAAAAAAAAAAAAAAAAAAGACCATGATTGTTTACCATGACCACTTATAGTTCATTAAACATTAGTGTTTCCCAAAGGACTTTTTCCACATTGTCCAAATGTATGTGTTAAATTTTAGTTAAGAATTGCATGACCAGAGGACTTTCCTAGAGCTTCATCTTTTGGAATGACACAAATTAGCAGCACTACTTTCTAATCCAAGAAGACTTTTCAGAACCATGTGTACAGATTGGGTATTTTAGTCCAGTCACCCCCACAGTGATACTTCAGCAACTGAAGTAAGCCATCTGATCTGAAATAGGCCATCTGGTCCACCACATTGCTTAAAGAAGGAAGTCTTTGTAGAACATAGCAATAGACTCTTTGAGAAAAATTTTTCAATCTCATTTTACAGTTTTGGGCTCCAAGACCCAAAGAGGATTAGAGAATAGTTCGTGATTACACAGCTGGTTAGTGGCATAACTGAAACTAGATCCCTGTTCTCCTAATTCCCAGACCAGTATTCTTGTTTTTTCCTTACTGTTTTTAATTAAAGTATAATTTACATATAGTAAAAGTCACCATTTTTAGTATACAGCTCTGCAGCTTTTGAC